CTCTAGCCCGGGCAACACAGTGAGACTCTGTCTTAAAAAAAAAAAAAAAAAAAAGTTCCCATTGCTTTATGTCTTCACCAAAACTTGATAATGTTAGTCTTTTGCAGCTTAATCATCCTAATGGATCTATAGTGATAATTTCACATGGTTTTATTTGCAAATTCCTGATGAGTAAAGATATTGAATACCTTTTCATATATATTTTTTGTTGTTGTTGTTCATCTGTTTGTTTTGCTATTTGTTTTTGCACATCATCTTTTATGAACTGCCTGCCTGTCCAAGTCTTTTGCCAATTTTTAAATGAGTCATTTGTCTTGTCTTACTGATTTGTAGAAATTCCTGTTATGTTATATATGAGTTCTTTTTCAAAATCTTCTATTACAAACGTCTTATTGTATCTCGTGGCTTACTTTGCACTCTTTTAATGGTGTCTTTCAGAAAAGAGAAGTTCTTAATTTCAATGAAGCCTAATTTGTTGAATTTTTTCTTTTATGGTTAGTGCTTTTTGTATCCTGTTCGTAAATCTTTTCCTACTTCATGGTCCCCCACGAGTTAAGATATAGTAATATTAAACATAATAGTCTCTGATATGCCTAACATTTTGATAAGTATAAACTTTGCATCATACTGCATATTTATTAGCTACAGAGGTCTTATCAATTTTTATTCATATAAATTCAATTAGATCTTTCAGGTATGATATCATTTGTTACTTAGATTGAATACCTTGTATGTTGCCACTGCTTTTCCTTAGGAAAATGTAAAATCCGATACTTAATTGAAAGTGCTAAAACTTGGGTAAATACATTTTGCTATGTATGTTCAAATAGGTAATAAATAGTTAAAAACTATTTGTTTAAAAAAACAACAATTGCATGGTTAATGTATTATAAAGGTTGTGTCATTCAGTATTTGTTACTGTAAGATGTAGTATACACATACACACAGCACACAAATATACACAGGGAGAAAATTTTCTTATAAAACACTGCTTTAAATCCTTCATGTTTTTCTTTTTTTTTCCTTTTAAATGCTTTTTATCCTGGAAGTTTAGGACATAGATAAATGTAAACAGAATAATATAACGAACCCCCATCTGCCCACCAGTCAACTTTTACCATCTCTCAACATTTTTCTAACTTGATTCATACCTTCTCACATGTATAGTTTTTTTTCTAGAGTATTTCAAAGAAAATTCCAGACATCTTATGACTTTATCTGTAAATACTTTGTGAATCTCTAACATTAAACCTTTTATTGTACCCTTACCATTATTATATCCAACAAAATTAACAATGATTTCTTAAACTATCTAATACCTAGTTTGTATTAAGATATCTTATTTATTGCATAGCTGTCTTCTTACAGTTGGTTTGTACAAATCAGAATCCAAATAATTTCTCATATTTGATTCTTGAGATTTTTAAGCCTTTTTATCAGAAGTTAATAAATTATAAACTTCTAATTTAGTAAAGTTAATGCACATGAGCATCCCTGACATATGGAGATACATATAATTTTTCTTTTGTTTCTATTTCTTTTCTCTCAATTGTAAATAGGCATATTAAACATGTGTATGTACACATGCATACACACATCATGTTAAGAAAATAGTTTGAAACAGTACATCGAGTGTAATTATTTTCTTATTTTTTAAGTTTTTCTTAGGTCACTAATTTAAGTAAAATTTGCATATTTGGCAAGTTTGTTTTCTTTTTCTAGGGTGTTTCAGATGGCTCTCGAGTGCCTTTCAACACTTCTGTCAAAATTAGGTCCATATAGAAACAAATAGTATTTGTTTTTCTGAAGTTCATGATATCAAATTTTGTATTAAAAATTATATGACATTCAAGCTAATAGGGGTTTATAATACTGTAAAAGCATAATCAAGATTGAATGACATCATAAACCAAAAGTTTTTCTTGTCATATCTTCCTTTATATAATACAAACTTCACATGCTGTACTTTAATTCCAGTTTTTGTAGAAGTTATAATAAAACTCCAGAATGTGCGTCTTTTTTATGTTTATGCCTGATTAGTCATATTTGTGGATATGTACATAAAAACATAAAAACAAAATTCATTCTTATGCCTCTTTTTACTTTTTTAAAACTGATTTCCCATTTATACTGAAACTTTGATTATTCCGATGGGATCTCTAATATGTATTTTTTAGTTTCATACAGAGGAATAAAAAATATATAGGATGTTACTTATTTATTAGTTTGAAATCTATGATTCTCCCATATACATATTTCTTCTAGTCTTCATATTTTATGATATGACCCTGTGTTATATTAAGCATAAATTAATAGAAGCATAACCATACAATTAGTCACAGAAAATAAGTAAGAACAT